GATCTCCAAGGAGGTGCAAAGTCAGCCACTGCCTGGGACCATCCAGCAGGAGCTACAGAGAGATCTGCAGATTCCTCCTGTTTGTATCAGGTTTGGAAGTGCCCAGACGAGGCCCAGCTGTGTAGCAAAGCAGGCTGGTGCTGGTGCTGGCCTTGGGCCTTCTTTTGATAGCTTTGGGGCTCCCTGACCGAGCTGCAGCTTGTTTGACAGGTTTTAGGCTGAGAAAGGACAGGCCATTTATATGCAAAAGCCGCTGCGCACAGCTTGGGTGGGGTTGTAAATTGGGTGGGGCGGGGTCTCAGGGAATCTCCAGGGCTGAGCAAACAGCAATGGCTGCCAGTCAGCCCTGCACCGGGGAGGTCCCAGCACAGGAACAATGACCGCTGCGAGCACCTCCGTCTGGAAGAAAGCCACGCCTGTGTTCCTGCCCCAGTGCCAGACAGTCCAGTTTCTCCCCATATATGTCTGGGTCCCTCAGAGTCTCGCCCGGAACTGGAGTTCAGAGCAAGCGGGAGCTTGTATCTCCTTCCAAAATAAAAAAGCAGCCCGTTCCGCGCCTCCGTACCTCCTACCTGTCTCAATGCGCCCTCTTCTTTACCTCTCTGGTTGTAGTACTTCCTCTCAGCCAGCTTTCCCGTGGTTCTGGATGATAGTTGTTCTGTCTTTTAGTTGTAATTTTGATGTGGTTGTGGGAGGCAGCAAGTACAGTGTTTACCTATGCCGCCATCTTGGTTCTCTATCAGTTCTGTTTTGTTTTAAATTTTTAAAAAAGTCTTGCTGCATACATGTGGCAGCCACTTATTTCAGCTGATACGTTGAAACTCTCCTTGTATGTCAGCAGGTACACATGGGCCTCCCCATCCTCTTAGGTGGCGGCATAGCCGTGCACACATGGACACGCAGCATAACTAACTGAACCACGCAATGATCGAGCACACGCCTTCCATCTGCCCTGCTGCGAGTGCGAATTCTCGCCACATGTATTTCGCTAGAGTAGACATGTGCTTTTTTGTATTCTTTGTCTTCCAGTTGAAAATGAGCTGCCTGCTCCCGAAAATATACAGGTCATTCTGGAAAATGACACCTATGTTCTCAAGTGGGATTACACACATGACAACGTGACGTTTGAAGCTCAGTGGCTCAAGTAAGTTCTTTCCCGCCCCCCTCACCTTGTGTCCGCAGGCTGCGCTCCTGCGGCTCCCCCACAGGCTGGCCGGTCCCGGCGATCGCGTTGTTGGTCACGTTGTTGGAGACTGGCCATCTCATTCCAGCACTGGCTCTGCCCGTGGCTGCTGCTGACACAGAGCTGGTTGGTGACCACTCTGGGCCTCAGTGTCTTCATCTATTGTGAGATGCGTGTTCTGGAACATGGGGAGCCTCCGGTTCTCTGTCTTGTGAAGGCGTGTGAGAGGCGTGTGTTCTGTAACATGGGGAGCCTCCGGTTCTCTGTCTTGTGAAGGCGTGTGAGAGGTGTGTGTTCTGTAACATGGGGAGCCTCCGGTTCTCTGTCTTGTGAAGGCGTGTGAGAGGCGTGTGTTCTGTAACATGGGGAGCCTACAGTTCTCTGTCTTGTGAAGGCGTGTGAGATGCGTGTTCTGTAACATGGGGAGCCTCCGGTTCTCTGTCTTGTGAAGGCGTGTGAGAGGCGTGTGTTCTGGAACATGGGGTGCCTCCGGTTCTCTGTCTTGTGAAGGCGTGTGAGATGCGTGTGTTCTGGAACATGCCCATTTTTTTTTTCGGGTTTAGAAAACATTGTTAATGGTCAGTTTGACTCGGTGTTTTTAGCTCTTATTTCATCCAACACCCACCCAGTTAATTTCCTGTGATTACTGCCCTTTAGCACTAACGTTGTTGTCATTTTCCCAGCTCCTTGATAGAGTTGCCCTGGGGAAGTCCGCTAGCGCCCCTGGGACCGGGCTTCTTGGAATGGCTTTTTTTTTTTTTTTTTTTTTTGTTTT